AACAAGGGTTTTCATGTTTGCCAGAACCAAGTCAAGCAGGTTATTTCCCCTTGTAGGTTCTGTAACAAACTGCTTTAAAAAAATCCTCAACTACCGCTAAGAAGTCGTTACTCTAAATTCCCAGTCCCCTAGAATTACTACATTAGCATACCTTGTGGCCTTAGTTTCCTCCCAAAGTAGTTTCCCTTAGTCCCAATCCAAGTTTGGGGGATGGTATATCATACCTAGAATTAATTTTTCATGCCTCTGAAAATTCTACTCAGATATAGACTGTGTTATTTCAGACTTTATACCCATTTTTATGCAGGAGTTCAAGTGATCTCAGACATCCAGTGCCACCCTACCACCATTTCCAGTGCTTCTATCTACATAGAACAATTTAAAACCCCGAATGTAACATTCAGCAAGCATGTCCCTATTTTTCGTATTAAACCACGTCTCAGTTATGGCAAATACTTGCAACTAATCTCAACTCGTCCATCTTATTTCTAGCACTAAGACTGTGTGTATACTATAAATTTAGAAGTCCTCTCTTCTCTTTTTCCCTTCCTGCTCGTTTTTGTTCCTTCATTATCCCTATTACTGTCCTTGTCATCAAGTGCCACTGGCTTTCCAATATTCACCAATAACTTTACCTCCTTTTGCCTATAACTGGTTTCTCTAAAACTCACAATATCACTACATTGTAACTTCAGTGCTTTTCCACACAAACCCATACTGGTATTTCTAGTTTAAAGCTATAACAGCTTCCTCCACTGCATGGGATAGTGCCCCCACCCCAGACCTAGATAAGTGAACCCCAACTCTGGTATACATGTCATTTCTGCCATAGAAGAGGTCCCAGTTGTCTATGAATGTAACTGTATTTTCATTACAGTGTTTGTCCAGCCAGCAATTTACACCAGTTTCCCTGGACAACCATTCATTCCAACTTCTTTCCTCGGCTGTCCAGACGGCTAACAATATCTTCCATGCCAACCCCAGGAAAGCATACCCTCTGCCTCTTCCTATCTCTAAGACAAAAGGCCCAACTAAAACAATGTTCATACCTTCACTGGCAGTGTTTGTCCTGACTTTCTCGACAGTCTTCATTGGAATGGTCTTCACTGGGGTGTCTAGATTCGCTAACTCTCACTCTTCTGCCAATGCATCCTTGATGTTCGCCTTGATGCTCCCAGTGATCGGGTAGCACAGAAAATGGGTTCAAAGTTTCCACAGCAGTCTCCTAGTTCTTTGTCGTTTCTGCCACTCCATCCATCTTCTTGATCCTCGGCTTTGTTCCATGCAGTCCGGCTGCTGTCCAGTTTCTTTCTTGACCTGAGTATTCACAACAAGATTACTACAAATCCTCTCACTGTTCTCCGTCAGTCGCCATATCTCGAGCTTAGCCACCCTCCGCTTCTTAAGCTGCTGTTAAAGTTCCTCGATAGAGGACATCTTGGTTCAGATTTACAAAGAGCACATTAGACACGTCTTCACAGGGGCAAGGTGCACATCACCACTCAAACAAGGTGCATGTCACCACTCAAGCAAGATACACGTCACCACTCAAGCAAGGTGCATGTCACCATTGAAGCAAGGTGCATGTCATCTCTCAAGCAAGGTGCACTTCACCACTCAAGCAAGGTATACGTCACTGTTGCTGCTGCTGCTGCTGCTGCTGCTGCTGCTGCTGCTGCTGCTGCTGCTGCTGCTGCTGCTGCTGCTGCTGCTGCTGCTGATGTTGTTGATGTTGCTGTTGCTGCTGCTGTTGTTGCTTTTGCTGGTACTATTCTTGTTGCTACTCAAGTTGCTGCTGCTCCTGTTTTTCCTGGTGCTGTTCTTGCTGTTGGTGTTGCTGCTGATGTTGGTGTTGCTGCTGCTGATGTTGGTGTTGCTGCTGCTGCTATTGGTGCTGTTGCTGCATTACTGTTGTTGTTATTCTTGCTGCTGCTGCTTTCGTTGCTGTAGTTACTGTTGTTGATCTTGTTATTGCTGTTGCTGCTACTGATTATTGTTGTTGCTGCCCAGGATGCCACCCACAACAGTCAACTAACACCCACGTACCTATTTATTGCTAGGTGAACAGTTCCAGCAGCAGCAACAGCAAGTGTTAGGTGACTCCTGTACACCTTATCTTACTTGGATATTTAACCCAGGTGGTCTTATTGTTATACTGTTGTACCAGTGAGGTTACCTGGAGGTTACCTGGAGGTTATTCCGGGGATCAACGCCCCCGCGGCCCGGTCCATGACCAGGCCTCCCGATGGATCAGGGCCTGATCAACTAGGCTGTTACTGCTGGCCGCACGCAGTCCAACGTACGAGCCACAACCCGGCTGATCCGGCACTGACTTTAGGTATCTGTCCAGCTCTCTCTTGAAGGCAGCCAGGGGTCTTGAAGGCAGCCAGGGGTCTTGAAGGCAGCCAGGGGTCTTGAAGGCAGCCAGGGGTCTTGAAGGCAGCCAGGGGTCTTGAAGGCAGCCAGGGGTTTATTGGCAATTCCCCTAATGCTTGATGGGAGGCTGTTGAACAGTTTTGGGCCCCGGACACTTATGGTGGTTTCTCTTAGTGTACCAATGGCGCCCCTACTTTTTATTGGCGGCATTTTGCATCGCCTGCCCAGTCTTTTTACTTTCGTAGGGAGTGATTTCTGTGTGCAGATTTGGGACCATTCCTTCCAAGATTTTCCAAGTGTAGATTATGATATATCTCTCCCTCCTGCGTTCCAACGAGTACAAGTCAAGTGCTTCCAAGCGTTCCCAGTAGTTAAGGTGCTTGACAGAACTTATAAGTGCAGTAAAGGATCTCTGTACACACTCTAGATCTGCGATTTTCACTGCTTTGAATGGAGATGTTAATGTACAGCAGTATTCCAGCCTAGAGAGAACAAGTGATTTGGAAAAGGATCATCATGGGCTTGGCATCTCTCGTTTTGAAAGTTCTCATTATCCATCCTATCATTTTCTTTGCACGTGCGATCGTGGCACTGTTGTGATCCTTGAAAGTGAGATCCTCAGACATTACTACTCCCAGGTCCCTTACATTATTTTTCCGCTCTATTGTATGGCCGGAGTCTGTAGTATACTCTGTTCTAGTTATTATCTCCTCCAGTTTTCCATAACGGAGTAGTTGGAATTTGTCCTCATTGAACATCATATTGTTTACACTGTGGACAGTATCAAACAGTAACAGAAGATGCTTAAACTGTGCTTCTTTAGTTGAAAATCTCCTGTTATGAGAGTGAGAAAGTGTGAAAGTGAGAGAATGAGTGAGAAAGTGAGAAAGTGAGAGATTCAGTGAGAAAGTGTGAAAGTGAGAGAATGAGTGTGAAAGTGAGAGAATGAGTGAGAAAGTGTGAAAGTGAGAGAATGAGTGAGAAAGTGTGAAAGTGAGAGAATGAGTGAGAAAGTGTGAAAGTGAGAGAATGAGTGAGAAAGTGTGAAAGTGAGAGATTGATGAGTAAGTGTGAAAGTGAGAGAATGAGTGAAAAAGTGTGAAAGTGAGAGAATGAGTGAGAAAGTGTAAAAGTGAGAGAATGAGTGAGTAAGTGTGAAAGTGAGAGAATGAGTGAGAAAGTGTGAAAGTGAGAGAATGAGTGAGAAAGTGTGAAAGTGAGAGAATGAGTGAGTAAGTGTGAAAGTGAGAGAATGAGTGAGAAAGTGTGAAAGTGAGAGAATGAGTGAGAAAGTGTGAAAGTGAGAGAATGAGTGTGGAAAGTGAGAGAATGAGTGTGAAAGTGAGAGAATGAGTGAGAAAGTGTGAAAGTGAGAGAATGAGTAAGTGTGAAAGTGAGAGAATGAGTGAGAAAGTGTGAAAGTGAGAGAATGAGTGAGAAAGTGTGAAAGTGAGAGAGTGTGAAAGTGAGAGAATGAGTGTGAAAGTGAGAGAATGAGTGAGAAAGTGTGAAAGTGAGAGAATGAGTGAGAAAGTGTCAAAGTGAGAGATTTGAGTGAGAAAGTGTGAAAGTGAGAGAATGAGTGTGAAAGTGAGAGAATGAGTGAGAAAGTGTGAAAGTGAGAGAATGAGTGAGAAAGTGTGAAAGTGAGAGAATGAGTGAGAAAGTGTGAAAGTGAGAGAATGAGTGTGAAAGTGTGAAAGTGAGAGAATGAATGAGAAAGTGTTGAAGTGAGAGAATGATTGAGAAGTGTGAAAGTGAGAGATTGAGTGAGAAAGTGTGAAAGTGAGAGATTGAGTGAGAAAGTGTGAAAGTGAGAGAATGAGTGAGAAAGTGTGAAAGTGAGAGAATGAGTGAGAAAGTGTGAAAGTGAGAGAATGAGTGAGAAAGTGTGAAAGTGAGAGAATGAGGTGTGAAAGTGAGAGAATGAGTGAGAAAGTGTGAAAGTGAGAGAATGAGTGAGAAAGTGTGAAAGTGAGAGAATGAGTGAGAAAGTGTGAAAGTGAGAGAATGAGTGTGAAAGTGTGAAAGTGAGAGAATGAGTGAGAAAGTGTGAAAGTGAGAGAATGAGTGAGAAAGTGTGAAAGTGAGAGAATGATGAGGAAAGTGTGAAAGTGAGAGATTGAGTGAGAAAGTGTGAAAGTGAGAGAATGAGTGAGAAAGTGTGAAAGTGAGAGAATGAGTGAGAAAGTGTGAAAGTGAGAGAATGAGTGAGAAAGTGTGAAAGTGAGAGAATGAGTGAGAAAGTGTGAAAGTGAGAGAATGAGTGTGAAAGTGTGAAAGTGAGAGAATGAGTGAGAAAGTGTGAAAGTGAGAGAATGAGTGAGAAAGTGTGAAAGTGAGAGAATGAGTGAGAAAGTGTTGAAAGTGAGAGAATGAGTGAGAAAGTGTGAAAGTGAGAGAATGAGTGAGAAAGTGTGTGGAAATGGCTAGTTTCTGCACATGATATTGTAGTTCCTGGTGAGGCTGGGGACGGTCCCTCCCTTTCCAGGGCGGTGTAGTTCCTGGTGAGGCTGGGTGCGGACGAGGAGGGTCACGGAGGTAGAAGGCGGTGCACGGGGTGGAGGGAGGATGGGTAGGTACTCGGAGGGAGGGAAGGAGGTACACGGGGTGTGAGGGTAGAAATAGCGACCTGAGCCACTCAGTGTACAGGCAAACATCTGACTCGCGCCATCTCTTCTTTCCTCCCTGCTGGACGACCCGTGTCTGGGTCGTTCCTCACCCCCTGTCACCTGTCGCACCCTGCCTCTGCTACCTCTCGTACCTCCAGCTGTCGCACGTCGCTATTGAGCAGCATACGACCTGTTAAACCCTGCCTCTGTTTCTGTCGCATTCAGGTCCCTCTCGCCCCCCTGTCACCTGTCGCACCTCATCCCTGCTTGCTGTCGTACCTCTGTCCCCTCTCCACTATCTCATCGTCCACCAGCATCAATAGAAGGGTAGATCAGCGAATAGAAGTGAATCTCTTACAAGTGCCTCACGAAGATAGAAGGTAGAAGTAGTCCTGGCGGATGCCTGTCACCAGGTATTTTTGTGTCTCCTAGGAGTCTCCTAGCAACAGGATGGATTTCTCACAGAGATGAACATCTCAGGAACTGAAGGATAGAACAGCGGATAGAAAGGACAGAATAGCGAATAGAAGCGGATCTCTGAAAAGTGGTTCTCACGAAGATAGAACTTGGCGTTCTGGTGAATGCATATCATTCATGCTGGAGATCAGTGTCTCTCTTAGTGTTCCGTGGTCTCCCAGCAGTAGCAAGATGGTCATCCCTCACAGATAAACACCTCAGTGACGTGTGTGTGCTAAGTTAAAACACCAGCCCCTCTGTCCTCACTGTTTGTGTGTTTTGATGGAATGATTCGCACACAAACTATCAACTAAAAACAGTGGAATACAATTCACAACCAACCCAGTTCGGACAGGAAGATTGAATTTTATTAGTTAAAATTAAAGTATTGAAGAAGTTCAGTGAAGTGTAGAGGCAGCGTGTGAGGCTGTGAAGTTCCTGGCACAGTTACCAGCGTTACTGTCTGACGTAGACCTGGTCAATTAGGCTGTGGCTGCCAGCAAGTCTAAGGCCTACATAACCTCCAGTGTTTTTTTTTTCTGTAATTACGTTGGCTGATATTTGGAAGAGAGGTATTTTTGGGGGGATGAAGTGTGTGTGTGTCGAGCACTTGGCTTTCACAACAGTGGATCGAGCTTTCAACAGGTGGTATACAGAACAATAAAAGAATACAGGGACTCATACCAATGTGTTTACAAGAGTGTGTAAAGCTCTTTCTCCCTAGGGTACGTCTTAAGGTTCAGTTTAGAGCTTTGCCTCGAGGCTCTACGTGGAGTTTGTGGTGAGAGCATCAGGTCAAAGATGAGTGTAGTGAACGTAGACACTCTTGGAGGGTCATGCAAGTGATGTAGAGAGCTACAGAGCCACAAATATGACTGAAAATGTCCCTACAAGCCAGTGTAGTGATGTACCCTCGACTGGCTTTACTTGTGTCTCCCACCACCTGGCTTCTGGCTTATCTGCCGGTGCGGCAAGCCACTCTCTGGCTTTCTCAAAGGACGCCTCCTTGACAGACACAGCCAGACACACAGACGACTACCCACATACACACACACAGACAGACGAACACCCACAGAGTTTCACAGACTCTGTTGACACACCTCACAGCCAGACAGATACCTCAGCAGACATTCACAGCCAGCTGGAGACCACAGCAGACATTTACTGTCAGCTAGAGACCACAGCAGACCACAGACAATTAGAGACCACAGCAGACCACAGACAATTAGATACGATAGTAGACCTGGGGAACTTGATCGGTATGTCTGAGGTGGTCGGGGACCTGTTTGACCATGACCAGCAGAATGTATCACCCACAGTGCTGGATTGTGGTCAGGGTCACCAGCAGGCACACACGACCAGCCACGATCAGTGCCAATACCACGACCAGTGCCACGACCAGTGCTACGACCACGACCAGTGGCACCACTCTGCAGACACAACCACAGCACACACAGATCACTATGGGTCTCAGACCACAGAATACAAAGTGTACGTCCACCAACAGACCATACCATCTGAGACCAGCCAGGGGTCACAGTATGACCTGACCAATCAGAGGTCACAGTATGACCTGCCCAGCCAGGGGTCACAGGATGACTTGACTAGCCAAAGGTCACAGGACATGACCAGCCGAAGGCCACAGGATCTGATCAGCCAGAAGTCACGGGATGACCTGACCAACCAGAGGTCACAGTATTACATGACCAGCCAGGGATCACAGGATGACCTGACCAACCGAAGGTCACAGGATGACCTGACCAGCCATAGGTCACAGGATGACCTGACCAGCCAGAGGTCACAGGATCTGGTCAGCCAGAAGTCATGGGATGACCTGACCAACCAGAGGTCACAGTATGACTTGACCAGCCAGGGATCACAGGATCATCTGACCAACCGAAGGTCACAGAATAACCTGACCATCCAGAGGTCACAGGATGACCTGATCAGCCAGAGGTCACATGACAGTTGGAGGTCACAGGATGACCTGACCAGCCAGGGGTCACTGGATGACCTGACCAGCCAGGGGTCACTGGATGACCTGATCAGCCAGGGGTCACTGAATCTGACCAACCAGAGGTCACAGTATGACCTGACCAGTCAGAGGTCACAGTATGATCTGACCAGCCAGAGGTCACAAGATGACCTGACCAGCCAGAGGTCACAAGATGACCTGACCAACCAGAGGTCACAAGATGACCTGACCATCCTCCAGAGGTCACATGATGACCTGACCAGCCAGAGGTCGCAGGATGACCTGACCAGCCATAGATCACAAGATGACCTGACCAGCCAGATGTCACAAGATGACCTGACCAGCCAGAGGTCACAGGATGACCTGACCAGCCAGAGGTCACAGGATGACCTGACCAGTCAGAGGTCACAGGATGACCTGATTAGCCAGAGGTCACAGGATGACCTGACCAGTCAGAGGTCACAGGATGACCTGACCAGTCCGAGGTCACAGGATGACCTGACCAGTCAGAGGTCACAGGATGACCTGACCATTCTCCAGAGGTCACAGGATGACCTGACCAGCCAGAGGTCACAGGATGACCTGACCAGCCAGAGGTCACAGGATGACCTGACCAGTCAGAGGTCAAGGGATGACCTGATTAGCCAGAGGTCACAGGATGACCTGACCAATCAGAGGTCACAGGATGACCTGACCATTCTCCAGAGGTCACAGGATGACCTGACCAGCCAGAGGTCACAAGATGACCTGACCAGTCAGAGGTCAAGGGATGACCTGATTAGCCAGAGGTCACAGGATGACCTGACCAATCAGAGGTCACAGGATGACCTGACCAATCAGAGGTCACAGGATGACCTAACTAGACAGATATCACAGGATGACCTATCCAGCCAGAGGTCACAGGATGACCTAACCAGCCAAGGGTCACCCGATGACCTAACCAGCCAGGGGTCACAGGATGACCTAGCATACCAAAAGTCAAATGATGGCCTGCTTTATCAGAGGCTACAAGATGCTTTCTTGACCCATCAGAGGTCACAGGATGCCTTCTTGCCCCATCACAGGTCACAGGATGCCCTGCCCCATCAGAGGTCACAAGATACCTTCCTGCCCCATCAGAGGTCACAGGATGCCCTTCTGATTCGTCAGAGGTCACAGGATGCCCTCCTGATTCGTCAGAGGTCACAGGAGGCCCTCCTTATTCGTCAGAGGTCACAGGACGCTCTTTTGCCCCGCCAGAGGTCACAGGATACTATTCTGAACCTTGGACGTTCAGTTTCACACGGAGGTGCAGAGGGTTTCCACCCTCCAGTGAGGCGGTTATCAGACCTCCGGAGCCTCACAATGACTCTTGGACTCCAGATACATGGTTCCATCCTCAGCCTGGCCTCTGACAAGACTCGCAGACAGGTACTGACTTTTCTTTTGTTTGTAGTTACTGTGTGTGTTGTGTGTGTGTGTGTACTCACCTATATGTGGTTGCAGGGGTCGAGTCATAGCTCCTGGCCCCGCCTCTTCACTGGTCGATACTAATTCACACTCCCTGATCCATGATATTTGTCATACCTCTTCTTAAAGCTATTTATGGAACTTGCTTCCACTTCTTCACTCTCCAGATTATTCCAGTTCCTGACAACTCTAAGACTAAAGAAATACTTCCTAACATCCCTAGACTCACGGGTTTTCATTTTCCCAAATTGGCCCCCTTTTCTGATCCCATCCTGAAACTTTTCGATTCTTTTCCACGTGTCAAGCCCTTATATTTTTACGTTGTTTTCATTCTCCTCTACCCCTCCTACCCTTTAGTGTCATCGGGTTTGATTCCCTTTAAACCCCCCTCATAAGACATACCCCCCTCATTTTCCGGGGACAATCGGTTGAAATTTTTTTCACTTTCTCCAATTTTTTGGGGGGTTTTTGACTAATGGGGTTCCATACTGGCCCTGAAATTTTCCCCAGTATAGGCCTTACGTACACTGTACAATGTCTGAATGACCCTTACTCAATGTCTAAACCCAATCCCCCGGTTTGCCAAATCCCCCAATGCTGCAGCAGTTTTTGATTGATGTGTGCCTCGGGGCTGTTCGTTATAATGCTTTCCCCAAGATCCTTTTCTTTAACTGACGTTTTCAGCTGTTGGTTTTCCCAACCCGTACTCCGGGGGCGGTCTTCCCGTTCCTTCCCCCAAACTTCATGACCTTACACTTACTGGGGTTAAACTCCAGGAGCCTTTGTTGACCTACTTGTAATTTGTCCAGATCCCCCTTTTAATCTTAACGATCCTCCCCACTTGATTCTCCTCATAATTTCACATCATCACGAATGACACTTCTGAAACTATTTCCTCCACCCGTCATTCACGATACAAGAAACAGCACCGGGGCCCAGGGCTGAACCTTGTGGAACCCCCCTCGACACTTCGCCCACTCCGACACTTTAGCAGTACCAACCATTTTTCCCCTTCCCGTCAGGATTCCCCCGATCCATTGCATACTTTCCCCGTTATTCCGCCTGTTCCCAATTTTTGCACCAGCTCTTGTGTGGTACTGTGTCAAAAGCCTTCTTGCAATCTTAGAAGATGCAATCTACCCATCCCTCTCTCCTCCTGTCTTACTTCTGTTACCTTATCGTAGAACTCAAGTAAATTTGTGACACAGGATTTCCCATCTCTGAAGCCGTGCTGACTGTCATGTAGAGCCCAATCTTTTCAATGTTTTTTCCACTACTTTTCTCCTGATAATCTTTCCATGACTTTACATACAAATACAAGTCATGACACGGTCTGTATTTTAATGCTGCCTGTCTGTCCCCTTTCTTAAAATTGGAACTACATGCACTGTCTTCCCCCCCTCAGGCAACTGCCCTGTTCGATAGTTTTACTGAGATTGCTGCTAATGGCACACCATTCCTCTGCTCCCTCTCTCAGTATCCATGGAGATATGTTATCTGGGCCCACCGCCTTTGAGGTATTCGAGTTCGTCTAGCAGTTTCTTCACCTCTACCTTGGTTATGTGTATATATGTATTGTGTCCAGCACCTGCTGATGCACCCTACCTCCACAGTTTGCTGGAAGCATTCCTGACTCTATTATGAATACTTCTCTAAATCTTTTGTTTAGTTCATCACATACTTCTTGGTCACTCTTCGTGAGCTCCCCTCCTTCTTTCCTCAGCCTGATTACCTGGTCTTTGACTGTTGTTTTTCTCCTAATGTGACTGTATAACAACTTTGGTTCAGATTTGGCTTTTGATGCTATGTCGTTCTTGTATTGCCTCTGGGCCTCTCTCCTTATCCTTGCATATTCGTTTCTGGTTCTTCTGATCAGCTCCTTGTTTCTTGAGTCCTTTGCCTTCTATCCTTTTCCAGCTCTTGCCACTTGGCTTTGCCTTTTTACACCCCAGTTAAACCAGGGGCTCACTCTGGCTTCCATTTTTTTGTTCCCTTTGGTAAACCTTTCCTCTGCCCCCTGCACTTAGGGGTTATATTTCCTAATTTTTCATTTACTGTCTTTCCATCTAGTTCTTTTTCCCACCACTTATGCAGGAAACTTCCTTTCCTATGTAGTCCCCTTTTTTGAATTTTGGTTTCTCTCTTTGTTCTCGTACTGCTGCATTCTCCACTTTTAACTCAAGATTTCAAAACTCAGGACACAGATCACACCGCCAAGGGGTCTTTCGTGGGTGAACCCCTTTAGTCGAACTATTCAAGGTGAAAGGAATCCACCTTTGCTGCAACACCCTTTTTTCTCTCCTCTGGTTGATCCCTAACATGTTGAGCTGAAGTCTCCAATACAGTCCCAACATTTTACCCTCTGTGTTTCGGGTCCACCATGGGGCCATTTTTCCCAGTCAATCTCTTTATATTGAAACCCCCCATTATAACATTTGCCTACCCCATAGACCCTCCTCCCTTCACTAGTTATCCACCATTGCCCTTTTGCACCCATCATACCTTCTTTTGTTCCCTGTTTTTTTTAAGTGGGGGGTTTTATACATCACTGCTATCATCACCTTTGGCCACCATCTAAAAGTGTTCCTACGTAAGTCTTTTTCCCCTTCTTTCCTTTCCCCTCCATCTCAAACTTCACTGTTTTTTATAGCAATGCTACTCCTCCCCCTCCTCGTTCTCTCTGTCTTTCCTCAAAATCGATATCCAGGGGGAAAAATTGCATCTTTATCCCTTAAGTTTTGTCTCTGTTGATGATGTCAGGTGATGCACATTGATGGTTTTTGCCACCTCCTTTTATTTGTTATTCCATCTGCTTGGTACCATATTTAGCTTCCTTTCCATTACTGTATTTTTGGGAGAGGGAAGGGGAAGGGTGCAGGCTGGGGGGGGAGGCGGGGCACAATAATGGAGGCTGCTGTGATTTTGGAAAATGCTAGGGGGGGTGGGTAGGGGAGGTTTGTTTCTGTTTACTGTGTTTGGTTGAACGTGGTGACGGGGTTGGAGGTTTTTGTAAGCATTTGTGTTGATGTTTTCCCCCAAAAGGGGATTTTCCTGTCTGTCATTGCCTTCCTGTCCCCTCTTTTTCCCTTTCCCCTGGTTCTTCTTGCTCTCACTTTTAGTTTTTCCCTTTCCTTTCATGTTCTGTCTCGATTGAGGAACACTTTTGATGATCTGGGGAGTCCTTTTAAAAGTGTTTCTGTTGTAGTACCGTTCTTCCACATCTGTCTTGAAAGTCAACTGACTTTCATTTTTTCCCCCGAATACCCCCCAAATATGTGAAAATTTTCTTCCTGAACATGCCCTCTCCCTGTTATTGCAATGATTTCTTAATCTCTGTTTTTTTCCCCAAAGCTTCTTCACATAGGTCTGCCCTTCAGCCTCCTGAAGCCCATGAATAATTATTTATCTCTCCCTTACTCTTCCTTTTTTTTCCCTCTTTTGGGGACGTTTTTCATCCCCTTTTTGTTTTTTCCCCAAAACTTAGACCCTTTGGGGTAATTTGTGAAAAGCTACTAGTCCACCCCCCCTTAAATTGTGGGGTTTTTTTCCCCCATTTTATTTGTTTTTTGCTATTTTGTTTGCTTCGCACATCCATTTTTCCCCAACTCTTATCTTTCGTCTAATTTAACCCTTTGCCTCGGAAAATTTGCTCTAAAATTTTCCAAATCTTTCCCTTTTTCCCATTTTTCCTTTGTTCTTGAGCCTTTAAATTTCCTTTCTGACCGAATCATCTTCCTCCCTTTGCCCCTGTGGCCTGATATTTACTGCTTGGAGTCTCGTTACTTATCGTAAAAGTTATCCGGGGTCGGTTATCACCTATGTGTTATTGTTCATTAGGTCATCTGTCTTCGCTTCTTGTGCTGTCGGACTCTTTGTTGTCCAACTGCTGCTTGCCCAGGCTACCTACCTTCGGACCCAGTCATTGTTTGTTTTTTCCAACTTACTCAATCTTCCTTTTCTCACATTTTGTTCATTTTGTTTACACTTACTACTTCTTCTTTTTTACAGCCTCTGTTGTTCTTGCACTGGTATGTCCCCTTTTGAGTCCATTTTGTTTTGTTCTTGGTTCACCGGTACCGCCCTGCCAGATCTTTGTTGTTCTTGGTTCAACCGGTTATTCTTCCGCCCAGATTTTTGTTGTTCTTGGTTCACGTGTACTCTCCGGCCAAATTTCTTTGTTGTTTTGGTTCACCGCGTACTCCGCCAGCCCAGATCTTTTTGTTCTTTTCACTGTACCTCCCGTCCCACATCTTTGTTGTGTTCTTTGGTTCAGCGGTACGTCTCCCCCAGATCTTTGTTGTTCTTGGTTCACCGGTACTCTCCCGGCCCAGATCTTTGTTGTTCTTGGTTCACCGGTACTCTCCCGCCCAGATCTTTGTTGTTCTTGGTTCACCGGTACTCTCCCGCACGAGATCTTTGTTGTTCTTGGTTCACCGGTACTCTCCCGGCCCCGGATCTTTGTTGTTCTTGGTTCACCGGTACTCTCCCTGGCCCGATCTTTGTGTTCTTGGTTCACCGGTACTCTCCGGCCTGGATCTTTGTTGTTCTTGGTTCACCGGTACTCTCCCGGCCCAGATCTTTGTTGTTCTTGGTTCACCGGTACTCTCCTGGCCCGGATCTTTGTTGTTCTTGGTTCACCGGTACTCTCCCGCCCGGACTCTTTGTTGTCTTGGTTCACCGGTACTCTCCTGGCCCAGATCTTTGTTGTTCTTGGTTCACCGGTACTCTCCCGCCTGATCTTGTTGTTCTTGTTCACCAGTACTCTCCCGGCCCGATCTTTGTTGTTCTTGGTTCACCGGTTACTCTCCTGGCCCGGATCTTGTTGTTCTTGGTTCACCGGTACTCTCCCTGCCCGGATCTTTGTTGTTCTTGGTTCACCGGTACTCCTCCCGGCCCGATCTTTGTTGTTCTTGGTTCACCGGTACTCTCCCGGCCGATTTTGTTGTTCTTGGTTCACCGGT